GAGGTTGCCCTTGGGTGATGCAAGGTTGCCCTTGGGTGATGCGAGGTTGCCCTTGGGTGATGCGAGGTTGCCCTTGGGTGATGCGAGGTTGCCCTTGCGTGATGCAAGTTTGCCAGTTGGTGATGCAAGTATGGCCTTTAGTGATGCAAGTTTGCCCTTTAGTGATGCAAGTTTGCCTATTGGTGATGCAAGTTTACCCTTGTGTGATGTAGGTTTGCTTTTGGGTGATGCAAGTTCACCCTTGAGTGATGCAAGTTTGTCCCTTAGTGATGTGAGTTTGCCCTTGGGTGGTGCGATTTTACCCTTGGATGATGCAAATTTGCCCTTGGGTGATGCAAGTTTGCCCTTGGGTGATGCAAGTTTGCCCTTGGGTGATGCAAGTTTGCCCTTGGGTGATGCAAGTTTGCCCTTGGGTGATACAAGTTTGCCCTTGGGTGATGCACGTTTGTCCCTCAGTGATGTGAGTTTGCCCTTGGGTGATGCGATTTTACCCTTGGGTGATGCAAGTTTTTTCACATGACAATGTTCTCATGTATAATGCATTACAAAAATATTGAAAATGTTATACACATGTATATTTAAAAAAAAAAGTTTGACTAATTGCTTTGCAAACACTGTACTACTATTTTACCACTGTATTTATTTGTGCACCCAGTTTTTCACAAAGAAATTATGACAGAGATGGGAGAGCTGGGCGTCTTGGGACCCACTATTCAGGGGTATGGATGCGCTGGTGTGTCATCCGTGGCATATGGTCTAATAGCCAGAGAGGTGGAAAGAGTCGATAGTAGTTACAGATCTGCTTTGAGTGTACAATCGTCACTTGTTATGCATCCTATTCATGCCTATGGTACAGAACAACAGAGAGAAAAATTCCTGCCAAAGTTAGGTAAGTAATTTGAGCATAATTTGTGTTAGAATTTAATTCTCTGACTAAATCTTCATCTCATCATAACTGGCCAAAAATAAAAACAGTCTTGTAAAAAGTGTAATTATTTGAAAATTTTTATTTTTGCTTACTTGGATAGCTACGGAAAATGCACTCAATAATTTTAACCTTGTGTATTTTCAAATATAATAATAGCTTGCATCTTTTCATCACTAGTGTGAACCAGTGAATATACACGTACCTGCATATCTGCTGAAATTAAACCCACTGAATATCTTTCTTCTATTAACTTTAATTAGAAATTTAGCTGAATGTATGATACAATGTAGGCAACTTAATGTATTGATCTAATTTTCTCGTCCTGAGTAATAAGTCTATGAACAATTTTATTGTTCACAAATTTTCAGTCATAATTTTATCATGGATTGCACCATTTCATTCTTTACTTAGTACATAAATAGGTTTTCTGTGAATAGCTCATCACATTGTACACAAGACTAGAATTTTATTACATTTAAAATAGCCTGTCATACTATCAGCAGTTTTCTGCCCGACCTGTTGGCTTGGAATACTATGCCTACTGGTAACTTGAATCAGTAAATATCATTCTCAATATTACCACCAGAGGGCAGCATACATAAAATTACACCCACGGTGCACATCACATAATGTTCTCCACATTTTAAAATAAAAAGTGTTCTTTAAATAAGTTAAGCGGTCTAAGACTCCCAGACTTAAAAATGGATATGTTCTATA